TGTTTAATGGGTACAGACCATGTTTAGGGTGATGAAAAAGTTCTGGAAATGGGTAGTGGTGCTGGTTGCACAACATTGTGAGTATACTGAACTGTATACTTAAAAATGGTTAAAATGGTAAATTTTGTTATGTATATTTTATCACAATTATAAAAGGGGAGCAGGGATGGGATGAGAGGAGTGCTTTTTTTTTTTTTTTTTAAGTGAATTGAGAAAAATATTAGATAGTGATATAGGCACTTGACACTCAGAAAAATGTTGATGGTGGTATGCAAATTATAGGGAGACCTCGTCTCTATAAAAAAAATACAAACTAGCTGGATGTGATGGTGTGTGCTTGTGGTGTTAGCTACTTGGGAGGCTGAGGCCAAGACTTCTAAGACTATTTGCTGCCCTAAAGTTCTCTGATTGTATGTTATGACTTTGGGTCCTTTATTTAGATGACCTAGTTTGCTTATTTAATAGAATTTTATCCTTTTCAATGATCAAACTAAAATAAAATGCATATTTAGAATTTTAAATATGAAATTAGCATTTAAAATCTTCTAAGAACCATAGTATCATAGTAACAGTAGGTGAAAAAGAAATCACTTGTGAACTTGAACTTGCTATTCTATAAAACTCTTATGTCCATTTTGTATTCTTTATGCTGCCATATTATTTTTATATGGTTGTGATTGACCATGCTTTTATAGACAAAGTTTCTGGAAGCAGTCTTCAAATACCAATTTCCATTTCATGCTTTAGATTACAATTGCTCTTAGTAAATGAAAAATTTAAATGTGTTTCATCCATACTTTGTTTTGGTAGCTAATATTCAGGTGAATCTTTTGAATTGATTTAAGTGGAATGCTGTGACATTAATCCTCTTGAGCCTCATCTAGTCAATGATATGGTATAATAAATGTCTCAGTGCTTTACTTAGATATTTGAGTCTTTGATACAATTATTTGGACATTATATATTTGGGGTCTTCTCTGTAAGAGAAGAAAAACAGTTACTACGTTCTGTTTTCCTAGTCATACTTCTTTTATCCACTATTGACCATTTGTTTTGTGTTTATAATTTCATCTACAGTTTTAATCTTCATTGGAATTGTTAGATCTGACTGTAGAACATAATATTATATTTCCATAGTTTACTTTTACATATTGAATTTGATAGAAATACAAATATTTGCCCAAGCTAACAAAGAAGCTTCCTTCACAAATAGAGCTACTGTTTTATTTTGTGATCCTTTTCTAACTATAACATCTTACTTGCATAAACTCCTGGTTGATCTCTCTTGAAATTTATAGGCTATTTAAAAGTTGACTGGAAATCTTGTGGTATTACTTCCAAATCATTTCACAAATTTTTCTTACCTTCTCTTTAATTTAGACATTTACATTTACTAACAGTTGAAATGAATTTGTACTTTCTGTTTTTAAGTTTTGATTTTTAAAAATCAATTTGATTTAGAAGTGTACATATTTATATAAAATTAGGCTCCCAACCATATGTACATCAAGTTTTAAAGTCCTTAGGACCTAAATTTCAGATTAGGGTAAAAATAGTTCCTCTTATCATCATCATATCTTCAAAATTCAGAAAAACATAATTATTAACTGTTATGGTATATGTCAATCCTGTGTCTTTTTTTGATGTTTCTCTCATATTTCCATTAGATTTTCAGTTTCTTACCTTCTAATGTTTTTGTGATAAAATAAGTTTGAAGGTCATTTCAAAGAGGAAAGTAACTTTTAGTTGATCTTCTGCCTTCCCCTTTGTAAAACTGTTTTAAATAAAAATTGAAGAGGTTATTGGGTAAATGCAAACTAGGTAACTTTTAAAAGAAGATATTCTATACAACTTTATACTTCCTTTAAGAACTAATAGCTTAGTATTTGATGTCTCATAAGTTTATTTTTTTATTTTTTATTTTTTTGAGATGGAGTCTTGCTCTGTCACCCAGGCTGAATTGCAGTGGCGTGATCTTGGCTCACTGTGTACTCCATCTCCTGGGTTCAGGCGATTCTCCTGCCTCAGCCTCCTGAATACCTGGGACTACAGGCATGCACCACGATGGCCAGCTAACTTTTTGTGTTTTTAGTAGAGACGGGGTTTCACTGTGTTAGCCAGGATGGTCTCCATCTCCTGACCTCGTGGTCTGCCTGCCTCAGCCTCCCAAAGGGCTGGGATTATAGGTGTGAGCCACCGCGCCCCGCCCATATGTTTATTTTTTATTTAACTTTTTATCATGGAAATTTTTCTTTTCTTTTCTTTTCTTTTTTTTTTTGAGACAAGGTCCCACTCTGTTGCCCATGCTGGCACGATCATACCTCACTGCGTCATCAAACTCCTGGGCTCAGGTAATTATCTCACCTCAGCCTCCTGAGTAGCTGGGACTACAGGCGCATACCACCATACCCAGCTAATTTTCATATTTTTTGTAGAGTCAAGGTCTCACTATGTTGCCCATGCTGGTCTCGATCTTCTGAGCTCAAGGGATCTATCCTCCTTGGCCTCCCAAAGTGCTGGGATTACAGGCATGAGCCACTGTGCCTGGCCTTGTCATGGAAATTTTCAGGAGTAAGCAAATCAGGGTACCCTCTGCAATGCATTGACGTGTCTTTTAAGTTACTTTTAATTTATATTTTCTTTCCATCTTACTCTTTTTCTGTAAACTCCATGTCATATATATGGAAGAAACTGAGTTATTCTAAACTTGGTTGACTGCATACTTAAGGCATCATTTAACACATTTTTCTAATGGCTTGGTTAGATTTAGGTCCGATTTTCTTGTTGCATCACATCAGGATGCAGTAGGCTTGTCTCACTTTTGGTAACATTAGTTAGCCTGGGTATATAGACCTAACAACAATGACCACCTATGTCTACCAGAAAACTCATGCGTGAGTGGTTATAGCAGCTTTATTCATAATTGCCAAATACTGGAAATAGCCAAATGTTCATCAACAGTAGAATGGGTAAATAAATTAACTGATGCATCAGCATTCATGTTTCTCACGGAAGTAATGTTGAGTGAAGAGAGTTAACACAGTAAAGAGCATACTGAATGATTTCAAATATAAGAAGTTCAAAATGAATAAGCAAATTAATGTCTCATTTAAAAATAAGATAGACGGATGAAATAATACTACCTATTAAAAAAGTCTTTTCCCCGCCAAATGAAGTGTCTCTATTATTACATACTCAATTTCCATAGGTATGTGCATTTCTGTATCTTGTTCCATTTGTTTATTCACGTGCCTGTATCACATTGTTTTAATTATAGAAGTTTTATAAGATGTTTTAATCTCTGACAGGGTGCATTCTTCTAGCTATTTTTGCTTGTCCTTTCAAATTAATTTTGTAATCAGCTTTTCTTCAGGAAACAATAAAACCTTAAAGGTATTTCATTAGGATTGCATTAAATTAGTAGATTATCTTAGGGAGATCCGGTACCTTTACGATTCTGAAGCTTCCAAGAACATGGTTTTTCTTTCCTCTTGTTCACTTTCAGGAATGCTTTGTAGTTTTCCTCGTACAGATTTTATACTGTTTCTGTTGTTGATTTTAAGCCTATTTTGATTTTTGCTGTTGTAAATGAGGTCTTCATCTCTATTTATACTTTTTTTTTTTTCTATTTTTACTTTGCCTCCCCCCCGCCCCTTATTTCTTCTTACTGTTATGTTGTATATATGAAGACCTGGTCTCTGTATGCTAATTTTATGTCCTATTTTACTAAATTTTCTTGTTGTTTGGAATAGTTTTTTCATGGATTTTAAAAAATTTTTCAGTTAAGTATATTATTTGCAAATAATAGATATGGCAGTAGCTTCACTTCTACCCTACTCCGACCCCGGTTATTATGCCTCTAATTGCTTTCTCTTGTCTAATTGCATTGATCATTGCTTACATAATGTTATATAGTAGTGGAGTCCTTGTTTTTCTAATCTTTAGTGTTAAAACCTTTAGTGTTTCCCCATTAAAGATCTGGCTTAAAAAACAAATAACGACAACAACAAAAAAAACCCAGCTATATAGGCCTGGCATAGTGGCTCAGTGTCTGTAATCCCAGCACTTTGGGAGGCCAAGGCAGAAGAATCTCTTGAGCCCAAGAGTTCAAGGTTGCATAGAACAACGATTGCACAATGCCCTTGAGCCTGGGCCACAGAGCGAAACCCTATCTCAAAAAAAAAAAAAAAGCTATATATATATGAGAAATATAACTTATATACCATAACATTCATCTGTTGCAACCGTACAATTCAGTGATTTTTTTTTTTTTGAGACACTCACTCTTTCATCCAGGCTGGAGTACAGTGGTGCGATCTTGGCTCACTGCAACCTCCACCTCCCGGGTTCAAGCGATTCTCCTGCTTCAACCTCCCCAGTAGCTGGGATTACAGGCACCTGCCACCATGCCTGACTAATTTTTGTATTTTTAGTAGAGACGGGGTTTCACTGTCTTGGCCAGGCTGGTCTTGAACTCCTGACCTCATGATCCACCTGCCTCAGCCCCCCAAAGTGCTGGGATTACAGATGTGAGCCACTGTCCCTGCGGTGATTTTTTAGATTTTTTGTTTGAAATTTATAGGGTTGTGCAGCTATCATCACAATCTAGAACATTTCATTATTCCAAAAAGTTCCCTTGTGTCCTTTTACAGTGGCTTTTATGTTGAGTGGTTTATGAGAGTATATTTTATATGTGTATTTTTGTGTGTATGTACATATAAATATGTCCTATGCCTGTGTAACCATATTTATTGTTTAAGGAAGTATCTGTTAATTTATTTCATTGCCTGTTTTTAATACAAATGAATAATGTTTGAAAGTTTTCTTTTTGACATACATGGTTAAATCAGCAGGTTCAAGTTGTAGTCTGTGGGCATAGTGAAACAGAAAGATCTTGTTGCAACAAAATATGGCAACATTGTAGTAAAATTTATTTTCTGTGAGTAAAGGAAGATGGCATTTCATATTCTGAACCGTTTGTTCCATATTGTTTGTTAAAGAGGATGGCATTCCCTGTGGATATGCTGGAAAATTGCAGCCATGAGGAATTGGAAAATTCTGCTGAAGATTACATGTCAGATTTAAGGTGTGGGGACCCTGAAAATCCAGAGTGTTTTTCTCTTCTCAATATTACGGTAAGGTGTTCTGCAGTGATTGTCATCAATCTTTTCAGTCCAGTTTATACATGAAATAAATATCCTTTTAAAAAAAAATCCATTTTAAAAGTGTTAATCATTAATTTTTGAAATCTTCACAGAAATCGATTCAGTAAAATGGATAAATATTGATTGATCAGTTTTTAAAAAGACAAACTCCACAGGTTATTGCTATTTGACTTTATGTCTTTAAAATTATATGTGAGAAGTTCACCAGTTTTGCTAAGACTGTTTACTATATTTGAGCTACTTCAGATTTACTTTAGATTTGGAATTTGTGAGTTTAGAAAATTTTTTAATTAAAAAATCAGCAAAATACTAAATTATGCATTTTTTGTGCCATGAATCTTTTCTTCCTTTTTCTAAAAAAGTAAAATCAAATTTTCTAGTCAGTAAATTATGATATTTTGTGATAGAAAGATCATTAGTCTTGGAATCATTAGAGTTTCACTGTGAACTGTGGTGGACAAATTCCTTAACCTCTCTAGGCCTTGGATTTTTCTTCTGGAAATACTTAATTCTTGAGTCTTCCCCAGCACCAGTATTTTTATAATTCTCTGAATTGTAATGTTATCTCTAAATAGGGAATAAGTGTTGAATTAAGTGAAGGCAAAAAAATATTAAAGCATATTAATAGCATGTATCTTCCCAGAAAAATTAATTTACTTGACTGCTTTTTTTTTTTTTAACTAGAAAATGGGATGTCTTCCTCAAGTAGTCTAAATAACAGATAATAGATTATAGTTATTTTTTAATGACTTTGTGGGCCATATTATAGCTTTGGTTTTTATTCAGATATGTGACTAGAACATAATATTTATTGAAACAACTTTTCATATTTTCCCTAAGACAATAAAATTATTCCAAAAGGGAAGTCTATTTGATTTACTCTTTTTTTTAGAGACTAGAAATAATGTCTCCTGTAAAATAAAGTTAATTAAAATTAACATAGGAAAAGTTTACTACTTGATAAAATATTTTTTTAAATGTATTTTCTTAACAGACTGTTCACTAATTTTTATTAATTCGTCATTTCAGATTCCTATTAGCCTGTCAAATGTAGGCTTTGTACCTCTTTACGGTGGAGATCAGACCCAGAAAATTCTTGCTCTCTTTGCACCTGAAGATTCACTGACAGGTCTCTTTTTGCTTAATTTTTATAAATTAAGAAATTTTCCTCCAGACTGTTAGAAACGTATTTAAAAGGTAGCTACATGAAGGAATTTGTTTTTTTAAAAAAAGTGTTTCAAATTGTAATTTTAGGAAAATGTAATTCTTAATTGCTTATAGCTAAATTTTCTCATACTGCTATAAAGAACTTCTTGAGTCTGGGTAATTTATAACAAAAAGAGATTTAATTGACTCTCAGCCAGGCGCGGTGGCTCATGCCTGAAATCCTGGCACTTTGGGAGGTTGAGGTGGGTGGATCACCTGAGGTCAGAAGTTCGAGACCAGCCTGACCACCATGGTGAAACCCCATCTCTACTAAAAATACAAAATTAGCTGGGTGTGGTAGTGTATGCCTGTAATCTCAGCTACTTTGGAGGCTGAGGCAGGGAGAATCGCTTGAACCCAAGAGGCAGAGGTTGCAGTGAGCCGAGATCACACCATTGCACTCTAGCCTGGGCAACAAGAGTGAAACTCCATTTCCAAAAAAAAAAAAGAAAAAAAAAATTAAAAATTGACTCACAGTTCCGCATGACTAGGGAGGCCACAGGAAACTTGCAATCATGGCAGAAGGGGAAGCAGGCACATCTTACATGGTGGCAGGCAAGATAGAGTGTGGGTGCGCATGTGAAGGAGGAACAGTCAAACATTATAAAACCATCAGATCTCGTGATAATGGGGACCCCCATGCCGCCATGATCCAATCACCTCCCACCGAGTCCCTCCCGCCACATGTAGGAATTGTGGGGATTACAGTTCAAGATGAGATTTGGGTGGGGATGCAGCCAAACCATATCAATGAAATAAAATAAAAATGGTGTAAATGAGGCTATAAAGTACAATATTAGTATTTGGTAAGTTTTATATAGATATTCAAATATAAAGTATATGGATACTTTATAGTACAATGTGGCCTTATTAAGTCTAAAAGTGTACTTTAAAACTTAGGTGTTAATGATTATTTATTCTCTTTTAGCTGTGGCACTTTACCTTGCTGATCAGTGGTGGGCTATTGATGATATTGTGAAAACATCTGTTCCTTCAAGAGAGGGGCTTAAGCAGGTAACAAGATCCTCTAATTTTGAGTGTTTCTTTTGAGGCCAATTCACAGTGTTTCCTGTAAACAGTGATAGTTTTTGAGCTCTTGCCTATTTAAAAATAATCAGGTTATGTTAAACTCTAGAATTTCATTCTTATGAAGAAGCCAGCATTCAGGTTGGGCTTCCTCTATTTTTATGTGATTCTGTAAGTATCTGAGATTGGGTGAGGAAGAATGAATACCTATGGATCAGTTGAGCTTTGGCTACCTTAAACCACTTTAGCTTCTGATTTTCTTATTTGTTAGAGGAGAAGCTAGTTCTCTTTATGTAATTGTTTAGCTTCTGTCTCTAGGAGAGACTGACCAGGAAACTTGTTTATTAGTAGGACCTCCTCAGGTGGTCTATACAGTGTTCCTAACAGTGGAATGACCAGGTTCGGGAGAGAACAAGCTTCCAGCCTCTGCAGGGTTATAGTAGAAGCCAGCCAGCTGAAGAGTGTTGCAGGAAGGAAGCTGGTTTTCATGCCAGAGATGAAAGGGTTTAAGAGACATCTCTGGTGCTCTAGTTATTGGAGGATAAATAGGACAGGATGTGGAAAATCCATAGAAACCAAGATGTAACATATTTGAGGAGGCAGAGCATAATAAAATAATGATGAAATCTTTGGTGGCTGGAACAGTGAGATTTATAATATTGGAGAAATAGGAAACTGACTTGGTAGAAGTGCATTACACTTTGCTTACTTAACAAGAATACTGACTTTTTGGAGAAGCAGTACTATTCATTAATTAAGTATAGAGTTTCTTGTTAATTAATCCTAAAAGAGACCCTTGATGAGGATCATGTTTTGTTTTTTTCTTTTTTTTGGGGTGGAGTTTCGCTCTCGTCTCACAGGCTGGAGTGCAATGGTGCGATCTCGGCTCACCACAACCTCTGCCTCCCGGGTTCAAGCGATTCTCCTGCCTCAGTCTCCCGAGAAACTGGGATTACAGGCATGCGCCACCATGCCGGGCTAATTTTGTATTTTTAGTAGAGACGGAGTTTCTCCATGTTGGTCAGGCTGGTCTCGAACTCCTGACTTCAAGTGATCCACCCGCCTCGGCCTCCCAAAGTGCTGGGATTACAGGCATGAGCCACCACACCCGGCCAACAGGAGGATGAATTCAACAGAAATATTTATGTGTCTTGATATTCTTCCTTTAGAATACTTCTAGGATAAGCCAAGTCTGTTAAAAACTTGTCACATTCACAGGGTGCCAGCTACTGTTCATTTTTTTGTGGGCAGTTGAACCAATCAGAAGAAACAAGGAAAGCATATCAAGAAACTTTGATCGCGTTGCTCCAATTCACAATAAAGCAAAACTTGATGTTTGCTTAAAGGGGCAGCGGCAGCAGGAAAAAAAGAAACTGAAGAAACTTACAGGTTACTAGGGTGTTTTTATTTTCTTCCCTTTGAGTTGGGAACCTTGAAGAGATGGGAGAATATGAGAATAACACACTTACTATTATTAAGTATTAGTAACTTTTGAATATTGCATTAATTCTTCAGTGGGCCTTAAGATTCCCAAAGTGGTAGGCCCATCTGCTGAAGGCTAGGAGAATGTGTATACCTGGTTATCTGCCAGTCTGATAAGAAACGTTGAACAAAACCGAAGGGGAGGAGGGAATTAAATCCCTGCATAAAGCTGTAAAATTGGAGGAGTAGATAGTAATAAAGGAGTATAATTTGTTCTCAGAAACAGTTCTGATAGTGAAAGGAAGTATGTATGTCAAGAAAGTAAACATTTTGATGTGTTTTAACATGACCGAGGTTTGGCACATTACAGATAAGAAAACCAAAGGATGGAGAAGGAGAAGGGAGAATCTTAATATGATGGTATATTGTAGCTTTTCCTATTCAAGTGGAGAAACTATGAAACCTCCAGATATGGATTGGGAAAAGAGGAGGAGTCAAAACCAAAAATAAGACTACAGCTATTAGGACTTCTTCAGCCTTAGTTACCTTAGGGACAACATTCCCTTTCTTTTTTTTTTTTGACACAGACTGTTGCCCAGGCTGGAGTGCAGTGGCGTGATCTCGACTCACTGTAACCTCCACCTCCTGGGTTTGAGCAGTTCTCTTGCCTTAGCCTCCCGAGTAGCTGGGACTACAGGTGTGTGCTACCTTGCCCAGCTAATTTTTGTATTTTTAGTAGAGATGTGGTTTCGCCACGTTGGCCAGGCTGGTTTCGAACTCCTGACCTCAAGTGATCACCCGCCTTGGCCTCCCACAGTGCTGGGATTACAGGTGTGAGCCACCACTCCTGGCCTCCATTCCCTCTTAAATAGAGAAATCAGTGAAGGGGGACTGCTATTCCAGTCAAATCCTGGCCAGTAAGGAAAAATTGGTTGGTAAAGTTACAGGAGGGTGTAACTATTTTTGTACTTAACAAACACTTGACTTGGAGCAAGTGGCTTTATTTTTATAAACCTCTGTGTACCTGGAACCTGATGCTCAATTATATGGAAGGGAGGTCCTCAATAGCATGCTGCAAAACGTTGTCCATTGTGTCCTTTATTTTGTCCGTGACTTAGAGGCATGCTTATCAATTCTGCATGTCACAGTGCTGAATGGAGGAGCTCATCTGTGAAGGGCAGATTGAAGAAGCAAAGAGGAAGATCTAACGTAATAAAATTAAATAAGGAGAAATGTAATACCTATAGGTTCAAAAAGTTAACTGTACACCATGAACACCAAACTGAAACAATAGTACGTATGAAAAAGTATTGGGCTTTAGTTAATTAGCAGTAAAATCCAGATAAGCAAAAAAGCTAATGAAAACTTTGTTTATATAGAAAAGCCCCATTGTCTCAGCAGCACCTTCAAAATATCTTCATGAAATCCACGTCCCAAACATGAAGAGAGATGTTACGGATCTGGAGCAATTTCAAGAGAGGGGACTGAAATGGCAAGAGTATCCCAAATTGTGTTAGATTAGCCTTTTCCTTCATTTTTAACCATGTTTAATGTTGATGTGAAATTTAGGGAAACATCATCACTCTATCTTCAAATATTTATAGGCTGTGTGGCTGCACAATATCAAAATTAGTCTTTGAGAAATAGATTTCAGCTCTGAATAAGGAAGAATTGTTGTTGGTCAGACCTGTGGGTTCGGGGAAGGAATGGGTTGCCTTGGAAGCTATTGCTAGTCAGCTGCTATTTCCTGTGTTTGGTATGTGAGATCCCCTGCCTGGGGTATTTTTGAGAGTAGTATATGTATACGGTCAATCTTTTCTCTATTTACTAAACTAATTAGAGGCTGAATTTGTTTTCTTTTAAGAGACCTGGGGGAAAATAGGCTTATATACAGACCTTTTTTTTTTTTTTTTTTTTTGAGACACGGTCTCACTCTGTCGCCCAGGCTGGAGTGCTGTGGTGCAATCACAGCTCACTGCATCCTCAACCTCTGCGCTCAAGTGATCCTCCCACTTTAGCCTCCTGTGTAGCTGGGACTACAGATGTGCACAGCCACACCCGGCTAATGTTTATATTTTTTTGTAGAGACCAGTGGGTTTTGCCATGTTGCCCAGGCTGATCTCAAACTCCTGAGCTCAAGTGATCCATCCACCTCAGCTTCCCAAAGTGCTGGGGTTACAGGCATGAGCCACCCCACTGGCCTGTGTATGAGGAACACCTCACTATTTGATATTGGAAAGTCCTGAGTGTTGGTGGGGTCCCTGTGACCATGTAGCCCTGTGTGTAGGAAGTGAGGCTCTGTTTCTGTTCTATTACTGCCCTAAGTATGTTTTTATTAGACTTTGGTGTCCCTGTCTTTGTTGACAGCAAAGATAGGGCTATTAAATGAACATTTTACCAGGAAAAGATGAGACACCTTTCTTTCCCAAGAGCATAATTGTGGCTTCCCTCACCAAATGATGTAATTGTTCTTAAAGTGTTCAGGGGATAACACTAAGCTGCCCTTTTTTTTAAAAAATGTGGAGACTGAAAAGCAGTTGAAGTAGTTTACTATAGTGAGGGCTGTGATTAGGGTTGGTAAGACCCTGGATCTGGGCAGCTGGAAGCAGAAAGAAGATGGCGTGTGCTGAAAGAGGTGCTAGGAAATGGTACGTTGGGGACCTGTTTTGCCCAATTTAGAATTTTGTTGAAAGGGAGTATTCTATGCATAATATGTGTCTGTGGAAATGGATTGTAATCTGTGTGAATGATTAGTCTCATCTCTGTGGTAATAAAATGTTTTGCAAATTGTTTTGAATGCATTTGAAGTGCTTTGAATGCCAGTATGAGGTATGGGAGCAGGGAGCAAAGTAAATAGCATCTTGTGATTGATGCATATTATAACTGCTGTGCCTGGTGTTTGACTCTCTTTGTAGGTGAGCACTCTTGGGGAGAGAGTGGTTCTGTATGTTCTGAATCGAATTATTTATAGAAAACAGGAAATGGAGAGAAATGAGATCCCATTCCTGTGTCATAGCAGTACTGATTATGCTAAGATTCTGTGGAAGAAAGGAGAGGCCATTGGGTTTTATTCAGTTAAGCCTACAGGTGAGTCTTTAAAAGTTATTTAAACTGTGTATTATGGAAATCTCCATTTTAGACCCCTCCAACTGTATCAATATCTCTGTTAAATTAATCTCTGGCATGCAAATTGAGGTGATTTTACTTAGTATTTCTTGGGAGTACTTTGATTCTACCATCCTATGACCGTGAGGATTATTGGGAAAGTGTTTTGAAAAAACAAAATAAAAATAAACATTTGATCCTGAAGAAGATTTCTTCACATATATGGAGACACAATTGTATGTTGAGCCTCATATTTGTCTATCTTCTTGCGCTCACATTTCCAAAAGTTGTTGTTTACTTTGATTCCCATTGCTGTTACTGTTACAGGCTCCTTCTAAAACCCCAGTCTACCTGTGACCCAGATGCATAGCCTGTTTCTGCATAGCACACCTCATTCAGCCTGACATATGAAAGAGCAACTTGGCTAATTACCAAGAAAAACAAAATGCTTTAATATATTTAGTAAATACAAACAGCTTTGAAATTGTTACTCTAAAGTTTGGGTTTCTGATCGTAAGAGCCAACTATACCCTATCCTTAAAAAATAGTGCAACCTCATGCCTGCTTTACCTGTCCTCCCATTCATTCAGCTCCCTAGAGCAGCTGGAGCTGGGAAGCTCTAACCTACTTACCTTGTGTGCACATACAACCCACACCTTGTTACCATCAAAGAACAAAGTCTGCCTTGTTCTGTACCTTGACCAGAAGACCTTTCGCAGAGAATACACTTAGTTTCTTTTTATTTCCTTTTCAGATTTTCCAAACTTAGCTCTTCTGGTCACATCCAGTCTAAAGATCCTACCAGATTAACTGCTGATCTGATGAACAGTTGTTTTTGACACCTTGATCCCATAATTAGTACACATTTGTGATGAGAATTAGTGCATATAGTTAGTTAAAGAAAGGTCATTTTTTCCCAAGAATGAAAAACTGATGTGCAGTTTAAAATGGTTTTTCTTTAGGTAAATGCTTTGGGTGCCCTTTATTGTCTTTGTTCTTGTATAAATTTGAAATAGAACCAGTAATTTTTGTAACTTCAGAAAAATACTGATTATACGTGAGGAAAAAGAGTGTTCAATGGAAATTTATTGTGCATTGCAGAAAAGACATCACTTTGTTGTTTTTAAATGTTTTAATTTTTGGAGTTGGGGTGTGAATTAATTGTTTTAAGCTTTATTTTATATAAGGCAATTCCTGTGGGAATTGGAGGCTTTTTGTTCCTTATACTGGCTCCAGGGGAGTTTCCTACCTGAAACTACCTCGTAGACATTTGGAGCACAACTAGTTTATACTTTTTTATTGAGGGCTTCTTTCTATGAAAGACACACAAGTAAAAGGCACAGCCTTCCTATTTAGTATTTCTGATCAGTATTTAACTGCAGGAGTGTGCTCTTCTTATTATGCATGTTGAGGCTCCTTCTCCTCTGGCATCTGGCCTCTATTTCTGCTTGTTCTGGTAGTTAACTATTTTATAGCCTCGGGTTTCCAGGTGCTACTGTACATGCCACTTTTAGTACCTTCCATACTTCTCTAATTGTCTTACATCTCTTTACTATTTATTTTAGTTCTTTCCCCATTGTACCAGATAACAATGGAGTTAGGTGTGCTTATACTAGCCTTTGAATCAGTAGCCATTTAATTCAGGCTGGAAGTATTTTTTCTACAAAGGAAACCTAAACATAATTATATATAAAGGATATATATATCCCATTTTTATGTATATAAAGGTATATTTATATAAAGTATATAAAGTGTGTATTATATAAACATCTATTTCATATATACTGATATATGTAAAATACTTTTTTCTACACTGGTAGCAAAAAGATAAAATCTTTATTAAGAAGATTTGTAGTTGAATGAAAGTCTTGTGAAATAATTTATTATTTATGATTTTTAAAATGAAATAGCAAATAAGTTTATGGAGCTATTAGGACATAGAATAGCCTTGATAGAAAAAGGAGACTTTGTTTATGAGGTCAAATTCTATTACAGTACAATGAAATTCAAGAAACTATATAAATTCTTCTTTGCCTGAAATAAAGAGATCACTGTGAGACTGTTTTTTGGGTTAGGTAGATAGTTTTCTTATAAAGATATTTGTGTTTTTTTTTTGTTTGTTTTTGTTTTTTTCTACTGTTACTTTAATGTAATGAGCTCATTCTTTTAAGGTATATTTCATTTTTTCTCATTATTTATATGATTTTTTATATTTTCAAACAGTTCTCCAAAGCACCAGATGTTTCAAACTAGTCTTTCAAATGAAGTAAAAAAATTTTTTTAAATAAATTATGTTTATTTTGCAGTTGAAGGAAAGCTTCAGAAAATAGTTGGTTGGGATTCCTGAATTTATCTTAATTTATTGGTAGAATAAGTTTTTATTTCTTTGACCAACAGTTGTTCACTTAATGTAATTGATTCTTTCATCAGATATTTTTGAAAAAGAATATAGAGTGAGATTGAAGGTATTGTCACGGCTTTCAAGTCATGGTTAATTCTTGAGATCTGTCCATATCTCATAATGTTTTTGGTTATGATGGCTGGTTCAAATCTGTGCTTAAGCTCTAGGGAGGATGCGGAACAAAGAGAAGCAAAATGATTTATGTCTTAACATATACCACACTCCTTACAAGTCCAGGAAAGTGAAAGGATTCATAAGAAATTTGAAAATACACAGATTGAATATTTCTAATCTGAAAATTTGAAATCCAAAATGCTCCAAAATTTGAAACATTTTGAGCGCCAACAAGACCCTCACAGGAAATGCTTGTTGGGGCATTTCAGATTTTGGATGTTTGGATTAGGGTTGTCCAGCCAGTAAGGAAAATGCAAATATTCTGAAATTCCCCCCAAAATCTGAAATCCTGTCTGGTTCTCAGCATTTTGGGTAAGGGTTATTCAGTCTGTACCTTAGTTACTCTCTATTCTTTTTCATTTGCATACCTCAAGACTGCTGATGAGTTTGAGTTTGAAGAAATTATTAATGAAACAATTGGAACAGCTTTTTCAGGCAAGTCAATCTGTTCTTTGGAAACTTCCCTATTTAGTCTACTGTACAACTCAGAAATTATCTTAAGACAAAATCAAGTATTAGTATCAAAGAGATTTTGGGTTTTGTTATAGTATTGCCATTAACTTATAAGTTGTGTAACAGTCTTTTTTGGCTTTTACTTTTCTCCTTTTAATAAAGGAATTAGGCTTGACCACAGATGATCATTGAGACTTTTTTTGGCTCTAAAGTTTTCTGAATTCTGTAGTTAGAAGTGGGGACTATCTGTGGGCAGAAATCCTTGGTCTCAGGGCTGGCTTTCAAAAGGTTGAATTTGAGAGAAAGGTAGGTAAGTTGAAAGACTATGATAGATAGTAAAGGAAGATTTATTTCTTGCAGTCTTGAGAAGATTCAGTAAGAGTAAATGCATGTAGTGTTTTGTCATCAAAGCCCCAGTGTATGACTCTGAGACATGATGCTATATAGGAATAAAGATTATTTCTCAATAGGCAAAATTAAGCAAATGCAAAACTCTTCGGCTACTCATTTATATATTAATATTTTGGGTCAAATGATTTTATGATTTATTCTTAGTAGGCTAATTTTCAGACTCGATAGTTTCAAGTTTGGGCGTTATCTTACTGTTATTCCTTACATACAGACTGTAAAAATTATGTATTCCCTGACTGTTAAAAAAGTAGATATGTGATAGTCATGATGACAGGTACATGGTCTATAGTGAACTGGGATATATGCAGTTTTTTTTAATAACACTTCTAAGGCGAGGAATTATTTAATGATAGTTCCTAATAATAAACACCCGTTGCATTGTATTTCTCATAATCTTCTGTGTCTATTGGCACCTTCCCCACAATCCACTTGGATAGTTAGTATTGTTTTCTGTAGTTGTCATTATTGCTGAGTGGGGTTAGACCACATTTTCACAGGATCCATAGTTAACAGTCCCTCTACTTTTCAAGTTTGGTTTTCATTATCCTTATCAGTTTTTTAGACTTCTAGCAACAGATCATGACTAGTAATAAAAGGTATTTGTTGAGCACATCATGCTAGACATTGGAGTTATAGTTACTTCTCTCTTTTCCTATATTATAGGTAGTTTTATAGTGATCTGTAATCTAAAGTCAAGTTGCAAGTTCCCCATCATCAAGGACTTCTCTTTCCTCTCTTTTTATGTTGTTCTGTGAGGGGGATTATTATCTAGGTAAATGGAATTATTTAGTTTTTCTAATATTGTACTGTTTACTTCTTCCTAATGACCATTAGATGAACAAAGTTGATACAGTAATTCTGGTAGAACACTCAATGCTACCACCTTAGGGAATAAATCATTAAGTGATCTTTGTTTTATTTTCCATATTTCTTTTTTTTTTTTTTGAGACGGAGTCTCAGGCTGGCTGGAGTACAGTGGCGCGATCTTGGCTCACTGTAACCTCTGCCTCATAGGTTCAAGAGATTCTCTTGCCTCAGCCTCCTGAGTAGCTGGGGTTACAGGCATGTGCTATCACGTCTGGCTAATTTTGTGTTTTTCATAGAGACGAGGTTTCACCATGTTGGTCAGGCTCATCTCCATCTCCTGACCTCAGATGATCTGTCTGCTTCGGGCTCCCAAAGTGCTGGGATTATAGGCGTGAGTCACCGCGCCTGGCCGAGCTTCTTTTAGAGGGTTGTTTAATTATTTTTTTGAGCCAGGGTCTTGCTCTGTTGCCCAGGCTGGAGTGCAGTTGTGCAATCATGGCTCACTGTAACCTCAACCTCCTGGACTCAATTGATTCACTTCCCTTAGCCTCTCAAGTATTTTAGTTTTCTATTTAAGGAATGAAATCTTGCTGTTACTTTTCTTTGTCCCTATGTTTGTATAACTTAATTCATAAAACATGGGCTTAGCAACAAATAGAGAATAGATCTGTGTCATGGGAAAATGGCAAATTATTGCCTATCTTGGATCTGCATAGTGCCTTGCATTCACAAGAAA